AAAAAAAAAAAAAAAAAAAAAAATCATTGCAGCCCAAGCCTTCAAAGAATTTGAACGGCCAAGATTGCGAGATATGCGGCGACGAGATCGGGCTGACGGTCGACGGCGAACTGTTTGTTGCTTGCAACGAATGCGGTTTTCCCGTTTGTCGGCCGTGCTACGAATACGAAAGAAGGGAAGGTAGCCAGCTGTGCCCTCAATGCAAGACAAGATACAAGCGCCTTAAAGGTACGTTATTTCGAATGCTCGACTCATGATTGTCGAAATAATACAAAAAATGGTGCAGAAGTCTATAGAAATTTCTAATGAATTAGATTTTATCGAATTTCGTGTTAAATGAAGGGAGCCCAAGAGTCGAGGGAGATGATGACGAGGAGGACATAGATGACATCGAGCACGAATTCAACATTGACGAGCGTAAAACGAACACGGATATTGCGGAGGCAATGCTTCACGGGAAGATGAGTTACGGGCGAGGGCCAGAAGACGAGCACAATGCTCAATACCCGCCGGTTATAGCCGGCAGTAGATCTCGTCCGGTGAGAACTAACAAACGAAACATCACTTTTGAAATAATGTAATAATAAGATCTTTTACTATGTAAGATTATGAAGAGTAGTGTTTTTCTAAATTTGTTGGCTATAAAATTTAAAAACAGGTAAGTGGAGAAATCCCAATCTCGAACTATCCGTACGGAGATCAAGCGGCCGGAGCCTCTCTGCATAAAAGGGTTCATCCATATCCAGCCGCAGATGATCCCGGTAATTGTAACAAAGCAACTAACAACTTACTCATCGAAGATTCGATAATTTTGTAGCTTCTATTAGCAAAAGTTAACATTTTTTTTTCAAATCGATAGCTTCCTGCGAAAAACAGAAACTTTCAGCAAGCATAGTATTTGAAAGTTTATGAATAGAAGCATGTTTCGATTTTTTAGCTATCGATGATGATTGTATATGATTTTACACAGGAAACGGACGATGGGATGAGAAGAAAGAGATGGGATGGAAAGACAGGATGGACGACTGGAAATTGCAGCAGGGGAACTTGGGACCTGAGCATGATGATCTAGCAGATCCTGACATGGCAATGTAATTCTTTCTTTTTATCCATTCATTTATGGTTTCGAATATGCTCATTTATTGAGAAGCTATCTATATGTGAAAAAAAAATGCAGTGCTGATATGGCAAGACAGCCATTATCGAGAAAAGTGCCGATAGCATCAAGCAAAATCAATCCTTACCGGATGGTGATCGTGGCCCGTCTCGTGATCCTGGCATTCTTCCTCCGCTACCGGATCTTGAACCCGGTCCATGATGCCATTGGCCTCTGGCTAACCTCCATCATATGTGAAATCTGGTTCGCCTTCTCCTGGATCCTCGATCAGTTTCCCAAATGGTTCCCCATTGACCGCGAAACCTATCTTGATCGCCTTTCCCTCAGGTTATAAGAAATAATAATAATAAATTAGTGAATTCGAGAACTATTAAATTTCATAATAATAACAATTCCATTTTTGAGTTACATTTCTTCATTTTTATTTTTGTTATTTTGTTTGGATGCAGGTATGAAAGGGAAGGGGAACCGAACATGCTGGCACCGGTGGACATATTCGTGAGCACAGTGGACCCGATGAAAGAGCCGCCACTTGTCACGGCAAACACAGTCCTCTCGATACTCGGGATGGACTACCCGGTCGACAAGATCTCGTGCTACATATCCGACGATGGGGCTTCCATGTGCACGTTCGAGGCCCTGTCCGAAACAGCCGAGTTCGCCAGAAAGTGGGTCCCGTTCTGCAAGAAGTTCGCCATCGAGCCGCGGGCTCCAGAGATGTATTTTTCCGAGAAAGTCGACTACCTCAAGGACAAAGTCCAACCGACCTTTGTCAAGGAGCGAAGGGTGATGAAGGTTCGTTTTGTTTTTTTTTTTCGTTTGTTGGATTTTTTGTGTTTTATTTTGTACTTCTTCTTTTTTTTTGGGCTAAATGAGTGATTTTGGTGTTTGTGTGACAGAGAGAATACGAAGAATTCAAGGTGAGAATAAATGCAATGGTGGCAAAGGCATCGAAAGTACCTCCCGGTGGATGGATTATGCAAGACGGGACGCCATGGCCCGGTAACAACACGAGAGATCATCCGGGGATGATCCAAGTTTTCTTGGGCCAGAATGGAGGCCTTGATGTCGAGGGACACGAGCTCCCGAGGCTCGTTTATGTTTCCCGTGAGAAGAGGCCGGGATTTCAGCATCACAAGAAAGCAGGCGCCATGAATGCTCTGGTGAAAATCATACAAAAAAAAATGAATACTTTCTTCTGCTGTTAGTAGCATCAAAAGAAAAAATAAATAAAGAAAATTAACGAACGGAAAAATAATCTTTGTTTTTTTTTTCAGGTTCGTGTTTCGGGTGTTCTTACGAATGCCCCTTTCATGCTGAACTTGGACTGCGATCACTACATCAACAACAGCAAGGCCGTGAGGGAAGCCATGTGTTTCTTGATGGACCCACAGGTCGGGAAGAAGGTCTGTTACGTGCAGTTCCCACAGAGATTTGACGGCATTGATAGACACGACAGATACGCCAACAGGAACACCGTATTTTTCGACGTGAGTCCCTTTAAAAACATGGCACCAATACATCTATCATGATAGAAAATGAACAATGCAAAGGAAAAAAAAAAAATCTTCATCTGTATGTAACTATTTACTATTTTTTTTCCTTTTCTATTCTTTCTGCAGATAAACATGAAAGGTCTAGATGGGATTCAAGGCCCGGTTTATGTGGGAACAGGTTGTGTTTTCAGAAGACAGGCTTTGTACGGCTACGAACCTCCAAAGGGCCGAAAGCGTCCAAAGATGGTAAGCTGTGATTGCTGCCCTTGCTTTGGACGTCGCAAGAAGCTCCCGAAATACTCAAAAGACGGCACAAATGCTGAAACAGATCTTCAAGGTTCGATTTTTCAAAACACTTTTACTTACTATAATATACAATCATCAACATTTTGTTTTTTTTTTTTTAACTGCCTCCATTAAAGTCACTGAAAACATGTCAACACACGTACACAGGATTTGAAGACGACAAGGAGCTTCTCAAGTCTCAGATGAACTTCGAAAAGAAATTTGGACAGTCCCCAATATTCGTGACCTCAACTCTCATGGTCGAAGGTGGTGTCCCGCCATCTTCAAGCCCGGCAGCTCTTCTTAAGGAAGCTATTCACGTCATAAGCTGTGGGTATGAAGACAAAACAGAATGGGGTACAGAGGTATATAAAAATTAAAGTTGACACTTCCTTATTTCGTATGTTTTTCAAACCACAATTTCTTGATGTTACCTGGCGGTGAAAAACATACACGGTGCAGTTGGGCTGGATTTACGGGTCGATCACGGAGGATATCTTAACGGGCTTCAAGATGCACTGCCGAGGATGGAGGTCCATTTATTGCATGCCCAAGAGGCCCGCATTCAAGGGCTCAGCCCCGATAAATCTTTCTGACCGGCTCAACCAGGTGCTTCGGTGGGCCCTGGGCTCAGTCGAGATATTTTTCAGCCACCACAGCCCAATGTGGTACGGTTACAAGGAGGGGAAGCTGAAGTGGCTTGAAAGGTTCGCCTACATCAACACGACTGT